AGTTTATACATTTTTCCTTGTTTTATATATAATTTATCACATGAAAAATTGATTTAAGTATATTGTCTGCTTTTCTCATCTTCTGTTAAAAATTGCAGCCATCTACAGCAAAAAACAAAATAGAATAATCTAAATTAAGTTTTTTTTTAGTGATAAACTTTTTTAACTTATGGCCTGTTAGATTCGGGAAAAGTTTGGAGGAAAGGAAAATGAGATTAATCAAGGATTCCATTTTCTTTGCGTTTGGTGAGAATTAAAAAACAAAGGGAAATTTTAACTAAAAGGAAAATATAAATGAAAGTTAACAACAAATTATTTCTTTCACTTTCCTCTAAAAATAACTGAAGAAAATGGAAGATAAATCGGGGAATAACTATCGGGCTCTATCATTTGCTTTCTCTTTTTCCATCTGTCCATCTCTATTTAGCAAGTAGACAATGAGGACTCATCAATGCGAAGGACCCCAAGAAAACTCCACCAGAATACAATGAAGAGGCGAATATTTGGTGAAGCTCTTGTAATTATTGAGAGCCATATATATATATAGGTTGTTCTTTTCTTTTTCTTGTTATTGATAATCACAAGCATGTCGGGTGGTTAGTACAACTTGCAGGTTCCATCTCTTTAGTCTTTTGCATAAGATTGCTTTCTTTAAATCTAAATTCTTTGCGTAAAATATTTAAGTTGGGAGTTTTTGAAGTTGCAAACCAATTGTTTGCCCCATTTCAATTGACTGTATATTTTATTTAGTTGCGCTCTTGGGTGACGGGGTCATTTAGGTGTGATTGGTCATATTATGCGAGGAATGATTTTGAGGTTTTAATTCTAATATATTCTTTATTTTCTTAATGAAATGAAAAAAAATGTAACATTGCAATTTAATATTCTTTTATTATGTAATTGGATGATGAAATTTTCCTTTAGTATTTTCCTTATATCACCAAACAATCTAAGAATTATCATTTTCCTTCTATTCATTTTCATTTCCCTTTAATTTTTCTTAAAATTTTCTTTTCCTTCAAATCTTCTATGAATAAAACAAAGACTTAGGTTTTCTAGCTAATGAAGATGGAGTTTTTTTTTTATACACTACCATTTGAATTTGATTTTATCAAGCATCTTTAGATGGCATTTGGTTGGGATTACTTTTTTTTAATCACTTTTTTTATGTTTTGGAATCTAATTTTTTGTTATCTGATTTGTTAGTTTGGTTGGGAAATTTACTCCCGCATCTGAAGTTTTACATTTTTAACAGCGTCAAAAAGAGAAAAAGCAAGGGAAATAATAAAACTCTCATTTCTTTGAAGTTTTTTAAAATTTTGAAGGAAAAATGAAATTTTTACCTCACTTGCCCTCACTTAATTACATTTTAAAACTATATAAACAACGCTATTTATTTTATAAATGTAGTAATTTTATAATTTGTTTTTTATTTAATTTTCAGAATTCAATAAAAACAACGTTTTTTAAATAAAAACATGATCTTTGTTGAAAATAAAAAATAATTTTTTAAAAAAATTTAACAAAAACAATATTTTTAAGACAAAAACATGATCTTTGTTGAAAATATGAGCAAATTTATTTTTTAAAATTTAATAAAGATAATGTTTTTTAACATTAAAAAATGGTTTTTACTAAAAATATGAAAAAAATTACTTTCAGAATTCAACAAAACAATATTTTTAAGATAAAAAAGCAGTTTTTATTAAAAATATAAAAAAGTATTTTTTGAAATTTTTAAATTTCAATGATGATGATATTTTTTAGATTTAAAACCTGATATATATGAAAAATATTATTATTACATATAAAATTTATTATTACATATATTATTTGTGCAATAAAACTTAAAATACTTTTACTTAAATAATTTAACAAAATATTAAATGAACAATTTACATATTAAATAAATAAAAATTAAATAAATCATTTGTTTATTCACGTGATATGAATGTTACATGTTATTTACGTCTCATCAAGTACAAATAATAAAAAATTTTATTAGATAATTTTACATTCCTTTAATTACGTAAAAAAAAATCATAGAATCTTAAAAGCAACAAAACTCAGGAAACCACATATTCCATTTCAACATTATTTTTCTTCAAATCAATTTTTCTTTCAAAATTTAAGAATCCATAGACTAAATAACTCTTAGAGTTTTTTTTCTCTTTAAACATTTAATTTCACTCCCTACTTTTGTGCCCTTCGTTTCATAGACTTACTCTCTTTTAACAGCTAAACCTAAGCAAAACAGTTGAGTTAGTTTAGTGTCATATGTAAAAACATAGTTTGAAAAATGAAACCACGCCTGAACACGGGAACAAACCTCCAAACAATCATTGTCAAAGGTTTCATCCCCATAATTTTTGTGAACGATTGCCCTTTCCATTGAAGAATATATATATAATGCTTGGAGGCTTCCCCTGATGAAATTGCGGAACCAAAAGCAAATCAAACTTCTATGTGACGTAGGTAACAAAACTGGCCAATTGTACTCATGCAGCGTATATTATTTCGTGCTAAATTAGACATCAATCACGTATTATCCAAAAATCTTAAACTATGATATGAAAAATATCTTCTTCAATCATCCTAGAAAAGCAGCCATGCATGATTCTTTGATGTTATAAGATCCTTTAAATACGAAATTATATTTTGTACTTTTACACATCTAAATGTTACAATTATCTCATATTGTAAAATATTATAGTCAATTAATCCGAACTTAGGTCAATTAACGTCAAATTATGAGTAATTACAATAGTGTTATAATGTGACATACCCAATCACGTAATATAATATTAGTTAAGTATAATTTCGATTTAATTTTATATTTGAATCTATAATGACGAGTCAATTTTAAATAACCAATTAAGAGAAGTCATGCTGTTACCTCTATATATATAAAAGATCAACCTATTAAATTTTATAACTTCAGTTTTTGAAAACAGAAAGCAATTTTCTCCCTCCTTTTTTTTTGTGCAGGTCACCATCCAAAATCCGTAAGGTGATATCCGATAACACAAAAGGGTTGCATCATTTCTATGGATCTCGATTAAGGGGGATTGACTAACAAAGTCCTTTTTTTTTTAATAAAATTCTATATACAAGTAGAAATTACAATTCTTAACATATAAGGTAACTATTACATTTGATATAAGAAATCGATGAAATAAATTAAATAAATTCATCATACAAGATTTAATATAAAATTAAAATCAAATTCACGTACAATGTAACTTGTGACTAGAAAGGCTCTAGATACTCTTCCCTTTCATAATCATATATGAAGCTAAATCAAAATTTCATCTTTAATGAAAATATTAAACATTGAAACCCCATTTGATTCACATTGCTGTTAGCTCCATAATGCTGCTGCAGAGTAGGCTACTAAAATTCCAGCAGACAAGTACATAATTTGTGTTAGTATCGCAGTTAAGTTTTAGAGCAGTGACCAGGCAAAAGTGGGTCCTAAGTAGCTGTCATGCACAACAATGCTCTGACTTTTGCTTGCAGCCGATCCACGGCATGGGTGTTCCTATTGCAAACTCTTTGCCCTTCATCTCAACCTCCCTCCTTGCCTCTTTTCTCTTATTCTCTGTCAATTACTTGTTCCCCCTTGTGATCTCGTAATTCCTTCTTTCCTTTTTATTTAGTGAAATATCAAACTTTTCTTAACAGTACTCCACCCCCATCGCTTTTGGTTTACTCTCAGCCTCATCAACATCATCAATCAAAAATGATTTCCCTTGTAATTCGCAATTAGCATCGATGATGGTGGGGATGAGTAAAAAAAAAAAAAGGCCTCTTTACTAACGTAACTTTATTTTGAAGTACTTTTTAAGAATCATATTTCTTAGCAAAATTTTTTTATTGAAAACATGTGTGGTTCTGCAAGTTATAATAAGTAAAAGTTAGAATCAAATTTGAATTTATGATAATATATGAGATCAAAAAGCCGTTTTTGTTTATCAATGAAGGCTCAAACAATTTGAAACATCTTCATCAACAGAGAGAATTCTGATATGATTTTGTTATACAACTTCGATTAGAATAGAGCAACTTTTGTTTACCCGTGGAAGGCTTCAATTTCTCATGAATACCTGCAGTAGTTTCAATTCCTGCTAGTAATTTAGCACATTCTTAATTATGGATATTCTTATTATTGAAATAATTGATTGTAAGGAGATCAATTGATTTCTTAAAGCAACAATGTTAGGACTCTGTCAGTCTGTCGGTCTGTGTGTGAGCTATGATTGTTCTTCACGTAACTTCTTCCGGCCATCCTCCTTTTCCTCTCATTTATTTGTCTGTTCCTTTTGCACAATAAATTTTATCTTCCTTTTTCCAAAATCCCATTTTATGGATGTTTGATTGCATAAATCCGAAATAAGACATCCAACCCTAAACTTGGAAGAATTATCACATTTCATAAAATCGTAAAAAAAAATATTATATAAATATTTTATAATTTAGCATCATGCCTTGAATTATTTTCTTCAATTACCCCCCTCAAATCCTAAAGATGTTGAAGCAAGAATTAGTAGATTTCGTCCTATTACAAGTTTGAAATGTGCAGTTTTAGAGGCTAATGGTCTGCCCTAACAAATTTAACTTTTGATAAAAAGCATCTTGTTCGAGGATGTTTCCCCTCAACACTAGGAATATTTAAATGGAGTGCTTCACCTCCCTTTTACCTGCAAACAAGGATGTTTGATATGTGTGATTTCTTTGAAAAAAAATTAACCAACCTCAAAAGATTTTGAAGGAATGTTAACAAAACAATCCCCACCCCACCCCCCCCCCCCCCCCCCCCTAAAAAAAAAAGGTTCGGGGTTAATTTTAATGTTTATGCCTTGGAATCCGTCCAATATCACTTTCGAACATCCCCCATGTTATCTCTAGAGCCATATCAGTTTTTCCGCAGTTTCAAGAGTATAAGTAGCAAGAAGTGGACGCTTCTCCTTACTATGGTCCTCTTGGATAAGAACAAAACAGATATTTCACTGTTTTCCAGTTAGTTTTCAACAACAGTTTTCTCTCTTCCTTTTTATCCCCTCCCCCCATTCTTTTCTTTTTCTATATAAACCGCCTTGCTTCTTATTTTCTCCGCTCATCTCCTTGCCATTTCCCTGTTCTCCCAGAGTTTATTTGGTTTTTGGGTTCTCTTCCTTTTTATCTTTTCTTTTCTTTCAATAGACAATGGATGTTCTGCATTTCTTGTTTGGTGTTTTTGGTGGGTTTTTAATTTCTTTCCATCAAACTTTCTTTTGTGGATCCTCTATCAAGTTTTCTGTTTTCTTGGAAGATTTTAAGTTCATGATTTTTTTCTGTTTTCTTTGTTTACAGGAAATGCCACTGCTTTGTTCCTTTTCTTGTCTCCAACGTATGTATAACAGAGCAACTGCTTTCTCTCCTTTCCCTCTCTCATCTTCTCTGAGAATTGAAACCACATACAAAGTTTAATCCTTTCTATGGTTTTTGATTCTTGCATGCTTAAGTGTAAACACTTCAAACAGGTTCTTCCCGTATCAATGGAAGACAATTTTTTTCTTTTTTTCTTTCTTTCTTTCTTTGTTTCTTTCTCTCTGTCTTTATGTAATAAACGCATGCAACAAAGACTAAAATTTGCAAGTTTTTGGATTTTAGAAATTTAGTTGAAACAGAAAATATCTTCTTTTTTCCAAAGAAAGGAGAAAGCTTTTCTTTTTCTTCCTGTATAGTTCTTTGATATTTCATATATTTTGGTCCGGAAAAAAATTATCTTTCTCCTCCTATTTTCAGCTTTTTTCTTCAAAATGGTTATCAATAACGCATGTTCACTTCAAATTTTTATTCTTATCTATACATTTTGGAAATGATGTACAAGTTTCACCATTTCTAGATCTTTTCTCAAAAATGGTAATTAGGGAAAAAAAACTTTAAAAGAAAATTTTCAATTACCATTCAAAGATTAATTATCACAAATTCTGTTTTGTTAAACCATGTTTAATTTTTTTGAAGGATTACATTTAAGAGGATCATAAGAAGTAAGTCTACAGAGCAGTTCTCTGGAATACCCTATGTGATGACCTTGCTCAACTGTCTCCTCTCTGCTTGGTGAGCTTTCTCATTGATTTAATTCAATTCAACTATCTATTACCTTTTACCCTTTTAGTTTCCCTGGTTGAATCTCCTATCAAGTAGTCTTTTGATTTTTTTTTTTTTGAGTGAATTATTGTAAAGTTGTCTTTATATCCATGACTTGATTTTGGCACAATGGATGGTCCAAACTTTCTATTGCTTATTCATACTTCTACCCATGACTTGATTTTGTGCTCAATGGATGGTCCAAACTTTGTTTTGCTTATTCATACACTGTTCCTGATTATGTCAAATTCCTTACCATTTCTAATTTTCAAGGAGACAAAAAACAATATTTAAACAACAAAAGTGCGGACTACCAAACCTTCTTGAACTTTGTCTAATTTTCTAGAAAAGTTAAAAATTAGTTTCATCATTTCTTGTAGCAAAGCCTCGATTTGATATCTAATCTGTTTTGATAATTCTTTAGGTATGGCCTTCCCTTTGTATCTAAAAACAACCTTCTGGTTTCAACAATCAATGGGACAGGTGCAGCAATTGAGTCTATTTATGTGTTGATCTTCATCATCTATGCACCAAAGAAAGAGAAGGCTAAAATTCTTGGACTCTTCACTTCTGTACTCACTGTTTTCTCTGCTGTGGCCCTTATCTCCCTCTTTGGCCTGCATGGTAATGGCAGAAAGCTCTTTTGCGGCCTTGCAGCTACCATTTTCTCTATTATCATGTATGCCTCACCTCTTTCAATCATGGTAAGCTCTCCAATGCTCAATTTATTTATTTAAAAAAAAAACTCTTTTGTTCTAATTTTGTTCTTTTTTTTTAATGCAATATAGAGGCTGGTGATCAAGAGTAAGAGTGTGGAGTTCATGCCATTTTTCTTGTCCTTATTTGTATTCCTCTGTGGAACTTCATGGTTTGTCTATGGCCTTCTCGGTCGTGATGCTTTTGTTGCTGTAAGTTTTTCTCTTATATTTTGGTGATTCATTGTTTACCACAGCTAGAAATCTCCACTTAGACCTTTCATTTGACTACCTAAAAAAAATTCTTTCAATAATTATATTTGGAAAGCTTTCTGTTCCGTCAATTTTGATGAACAGGGAAATTTACATATTCCTTTGACAGGACAAAAGTTTTCAGGACTTTACGAAAATTTTAATATGCATGGCTTAAAATGGGCAGGGCGGTGCTGCATTTTTGTCTATAAGCCAAAACCGTCTATCCAAGGTCACTTTCTAATGTAAATGAGCTGCCATGTGTTTTCAGATCCCCAATGGTTTTGGGTGTGGCCTGGGAGCCATGCAGCTTATCCTTTACGTCATCTTCCGCAACAACAAGAGCTCTGCGGAAACAAAGAAGCCAACTGCTAATGGAACAGTTGAGATTGGACCTGAGAAACCCCACCAAGAGAAGCAAGCAAATGGCAAAGCTCCTCAAGATGAACAAGTTTAATCGCTCACTTTCTGAGGATTTGGGCAAGCCCTGAACTGCCCCACAATGTTAAAAGTCTTTGTTTCAAATCTTCACTTTCTTAAATCTTCTCATCCTTTAGTTTTGCACCCTCTCTAATGAAAAAGCTAGAGTAGATCAAAGAATGATTGCATAAAAATAAAAGAAACGATGGTTAAAACTAAAAAGTGAGATTTCTATGTTGTATATCTTTGTCTGGTTGTGGCCATTGGACTGTCAAAATTGACAAATTCCATAATTGTAATGGATTGCAACAACAATTTGAAGCTGCGAAGAAATATATGACTATGGGGATAGCCTATAATCTCCTTGATGTAACAAGGTTAATTTTGTGCTCTAAAACTGTTCGTTTCTTAGTGAGAAATTTTTATCGAAAAATACCTAGGTCTTTCATTGAATTTTGTTGGACGGTTACATGACCATGTAGTTGTCATGCTCTATTATTATTAGAAGCATATTACTTATAATTACTATAATACAATTAATTAATCATAATTCAGCAATATACAAGACACATGCAAAAATTTTATAAAGCTCATACTTTTAATTGATGAACACATAGAAATTCTTTTTTTGTTTTTTGAAACAAAATAATATGATAATTATATTTTTGAAGTTTCATTTAAATTGTTCTACTATTTGAAATAAATTTAAAAAAAATTTTCATCTGAAGATTTCTTAAAAAATTTATCATTTAAAATTTTTAAGATTTTTATCCTTAGATAATTGACATTTTAATTCTAAAATTTATTAAATTTGTGTTTTTTTTTAAAAAAATAAATATTAATTATTGATGTTAAAATTTTATCTAAATTTTTTCTCTATTTTAGTTAAATTTAAAAAAAAAATCTCTCATTTACAAATTTCTAAAAAAAATCACTCATTTGTGATTTTCATCCCTAAAAAAATAATAATAAAGTTTTTATAATTTAAAAGAAAAATTATTTAAATATTTTTATTTAATATTATATATTTTGTCCCTATCAAATATACAAATATTTTCTTAAGAATTATACGTAAAATAAAGTGACTGAACAAACAAATAAAAAAAATGACAAAATAAGAAAAGTAAAAAAATAATTAATAATAATAATAATACCAAAGTTTGACTAAAAGCTTGAGCACGTGAGTCTCTGAACTTAAAGCCCTCCAATTGGTTTGCTTGTCAAATCTATTTTGACTTTGGATACCCTGTTTCCTCATCCCCATTTTATCTTCTTTCACTTTTTCATCAAAGCAAACTAAGGCATCTGCTCCACGCACACCTCCGAGCTTGACACACCGTTTTGCCTTTCCTTCTCTCATGTTTATTCTTCCCTTACCTTGTTAACCAAACCTATTAAAAAAAATCAAGATGGAAAATCTTTTAAAGCTCAAGCTGCTATTAGCATTGGTTTTATCGATCCTGGCATTTTCTGGCAATTGGAACTCGCTGCCCTCTTTATTGGTTCTGCTTCTTCGTAAAACTATGCCTTTCTCTTCTGTATCGCATTGTGCTTGAATGCTCTATACTTTCACAAAGTTGTTGATGCTCTTGTGCTGGTTTCTATGCTTTTATATGGTAGGTTCGAGGTATAGGATTTGTGTTGTGGTGGTCTTTTGGGGGATGGATGATAATGGTGCTGATGGTCTTGTTTGTTATTAGCGAAAATGTGGGTTGTCGAACTGGATTGTGTGGATTAAGGTTGGCAGTGGCCTGGTGGTTTGAGGATGCTGGCCGCGATGCTGGTTTTGGCTGAGTTTCAGGCATTAATTGCAAATGAGAATTTCCCCCCTTGTCTTCTTTGTATTTTCCTTCTAATTCCTCTCAAATCTCCTAAAAATAACTTTCACAAACACTCACGCAACCCAGAATATATTTTTGCTTCCCAAATTTCGTGACCCCCACTTTTCTATTGATTCTTTGTGTTATTTATAAGGCTAAACTTAAGAGAATGTCAAATCAATCATGATTCAATTTGTATTATCATAAAAAAATTAAAATTTATCTTTCACAAGTTAAATTTCACTCCAGTTCTGATAAATAATCTCATCATTGCCGCTCACTTCCTTCCATTGAGTCTTGGCCTTCAAAACCTTTTTAATTAATCATATAAAAAAAATAAAATCAAACTAGAGATAAATAATAAAATATAAATAAATAAGTAAATAAGATAAGCAAAAAATAAAATGAATAAAAACTTTACAATTGAGCTTAGATTGAACCCAATCGACAAAAAATTTCAGACAAAATAAAGTATCTATAACTATTTTTTTACACATTTTTAGTAAAACATGAATTGTGTAAAGATATAGACATCTTATTACATTCGAATGTGACTTAACAACAATTATAAAATCTTGAAACTTCAAAGATTCACAAGTTGAAGTATTCAAAAATTAAATAATATGAGATTTGCAATTGAAACTAAAAAATTCACAATTTGAGTTCAAAGAATCATAATTTCAAAATTCAAAGGTTCACATTTTAAAAATTTGCAAGATTAAAAAATTCTTAGTTTTACAAGAATTTTCAAATTCGCGAGAATTTATCTTTGTAAGAATTTTTTATTCGTAAGACAGATTCGCAAGAACTCATATTCACAAGATTTCAATTTTGCAAAAATTCATATTTGCATTTTTTTCAACTTCGCAATAATTCAAATTTGTAAGATTTTAAGCTTCGTATTTGTGAAACTCACATCCAATTTTTTAATTCAGGGATTAGCATGAAAATTTTAAGGCTCATGCTCACATTCAAAAATTCTAGAGATTTACGCTCAAAAGTTAAATATATTTTTTTAACTTTAAGGATTTACTTCCAAGATTTCAAAGATTTTGATTCAAAACTTTTAGTGTTTCACATCTGATATTTCTCATTTAAAACTTCAAAATTTCGTCCAAAATTTCAAAACTTCTTATTCGAGTTCAAAGATTCACATTCGATAAATTTTAGAGTTTCATATCTAAATTCAAAGGTTCTCATTCAAAAAATTTAAAAGTTCACATCCAAAATTTTAAAACATGTCATTTGAATTCAAAGATCTAAATTCAAAGATTCTTATTAAAAAAATTTAAGAATTCACATCCAAAATTTCAAAGCTTTTCATTTGAGTTCAAAGATTCTCATTTAACAAATTTTAGAGTTTCACATCTAAATTCAAAGGTTCTCATTCAAAAACTTTAGGGGTTCATATCCAAAATTTCAAAACTTCTCTTTTGAGTTCAAATATTCTCATTTAAAACTCCTTAAAGATTCTTATTTAAAACTCAAAAATTCTCATTTAAAACTAAAAGATTCTTATAATTTTTAACATTAAAGTGCTCCTTTAAAAGGCTCAACAACTTTAGAACTCTAAATGTTTTCCTAATAAAACATTTTTTCATTTGAGGATTCCCAACCTTATCTTAAAAAGCTTTCTTTAAAAAGTTTAAAATTTCTTATTATGAAAATTCTCAATCTTTCATCAAAGTCAAAATTTTGTATAAAAAAATGTCATGATAATAATGATGCAAATGGTTTCTTAATGATTCAAATGCAACAATCAAGATTCTCACAATAATGTAGATATCATACTCTAAACCATGATTCTATTGTTCACTGCATGATGCAAATACGTGCTCAAACCAAAGTTTTAAATATTCACCAAGTTATGTACATGTATTGCTTCAAAACTACAATGCAAATGCAATGCATGTAATGCATATGTCATTAATGTCATGAAATTCTAATTAATTGTGGTAATATGGTTCTAAAGACTCCACCATCTCATATTTTCCTTTTTTAGCATTTCAACATTAACAATTTCATAGCAAATTTCATCAACTATTCCACATTATTTCCATTACTTGATCACAACTCATAGGCTTCACAACATTAGCAATTTAGGAACAAATTTTGTCCACTCATTCACATTATTTCCATCATTTGATCATAACTCACAGGATATATTGATCAATCCATTACCATAATCATCATTTAGTCATCTCATGTATCTTTTCAAATCATTTTCTTAGGCTTCTTCCATCTTTTTTTTTTTTGCCACCATTGTCTTAGATTTTTTTTTCAAAAGAATGTAGGAATCTTTTCTAAATATTATCATTCATTCATTCATCATTTTAATTTTTTACAAATATAATACAATCATACATTTTCTTAATTTATTCTAGGGATTAAAAATAAGAGAGTACAAGATGAATTGAGAGAAAGGTAATCAATACAGGAATAAGTAAGATACAAAATAAATGGGCAAAGGAACAAGTTCAAAGCATGTTATTAGGATGAATGGTATTGAATGGTGTAACAATGTCCAATCAATGAATACTTAGACAATTCTTAACATTAATCTAGAATTCATTTTTTAAAAACTCATTCCATTGACTTTCAAAATCATTTTGAGCCCATTGAATTTTACCCCAACTTTGAGGGATCTTTAGATGTCTTCAATCTCCCATATATTTGAACTGTCCATCTAACTTTCAGCTCAAATATTTTTCTACCCAAATCATCCTTTTGGGTTTTCAATTTAAGTCTTCCTTTTATTTTTCCACATTTTTCATTTTTTCACTTCTTTCATTTTTTTATTTTTCATTTTTTTCATTTTTTTTATCTATTATTGATATCTTTAAAACATAAGAACATAGCATGATTCCATTGCTCCATTACAAGTATGCCATAGCCCAACATATGATCATTCAATTCAAGCATTCACATTTAATCAATATGGATTTTTAAAGGTTGTAATATAAGCTATGGTGACAGGTCATGAAAGAATTGGATAAAATAAACTCAAAACATATATTTAATGGGCTCAAACCAAAGTTTAATTTCCCATCATGTGATGCAATTAGACACTTTGCCCCATTCCATATCATTTCACTACTTTTCTTTCTTTTTTTTTTCATCTTATTTCTCATAAAAGGATTCTCATTACTTTACCCCAACTCATTTGTGGCATTCATTTTTTTCTTCTTTATTTTTTTTTTGTAAGAGGTTCTTCATTCCCCTCATTTTTTGACTCTCTATCTTTAAAATCTTTTACAATCTTTTGCCTTTTTTCTTTCTTAAGTATGTTTTTTTCAAAATTTACCTCCAGTATGGAGAGTGATCCTTGATCAAGGTTTTTTTTTTAAAAAATCATAATAAGCTCAAAAAAGGTAAAATGGATAGGTTTATGAATGGTAAAAGAAATACTGTCATTTTTCATTTCAAACGTGAATACTTTCTTTGAAAATCGTTTATTGAACAAAGATAAACTCATAGATAATTGTAAATGATTGCACATCTTCAAGACATATCTATGTCATATTTTCTAAAAGCTCATTTTTTTTTGCTTAAATAGTCTTCACAGATCAATGTGAATGAATTTTTAAAATTAATCTCAGAATTATTATTATCATT